ACCTTCGCAGATACGTCTAAACATTTGCTCGTCGTTCGTCAACATTCCTACACTGATCTGTACCAAGACCATCATGTCGGATCTGATGCAGAGAAGCAAGTACCGTGCACAGCTCGTTTGAGGCTGCTGTAGCTGCGCAGCAGTTCTGACTGTAGGCTGGCCTGGCGTTTGTGCCTGGAGTGAAGATCCTGCGGCGCCAACGCCACTGTCGACGATTCCTGAATAAGCCCCAAACGCTGAAGGAGTAAATCCACTGAGATGTGCTGGTGGCGGTACTGTAGGATGCTCGCTACTCGATGAACCCGTAGTTACTGCCCGCGATCTGACGTTAGCTGCACTCCTCTCGAGTCTCTGGCGCAGACGGTCAATGCCCCCTGGCACAATCTCGCGTAAATCCATCGAAAGTAGCTCTCCGCAGCCCTGAAAACGTTAGCTTCCTTCAAACCATTGGCCTTGGTTCCACGTACGCATCGAAAATACAATCTTTCATACCCCGCAGCTGGTGGTGAGAAATATGTGACCCAGCGTTGCCAGAGAGAAGGTACGCCCGTTGTTGCGGGCCGTCCGAGAATTCCCACATCCTCTTGTTTTGCGAATCCCTCGGGATCGCCTTTTTCCCAAAGAAGCAGGGAAGATCGACTTTTCCTCAGAGTCGGATCACCGTTATCAAAGGCACCCTCCAGCACCTTGATGCACTCGCTCAACATAACCACCGAGTGTTCCCGTCGTCCATACTTCCGGATTTTGAATGCCAGTCTGATCAGGGCTTCCAGGGTTTCAGGGTGTATTTTGCCTTTTTTCCATGCCTCTGCGTCCATTATTTGCTTGACGGCGACTTCAAACTCCGTCCAGCGAGCCTGGTCTCCCAAGGCATATACAGATGCCAGCCGAGCCATACTCCAAATAACATCTGGATCGTCACGCCGCAAAGATGTGCTGCTTCTCTTGATGACATCGATCAGAATATACTCAGCCTCATCCCACCACGCACCGTTGTTCAGGAGGCGTCCGAGTTGCGTCATAGTCGCCAGTGCCCCGTGGTGGCTCTCGTCGAAGACTCGCTCCTTGTCTCTGACCAATCTACGGAGCAAAGCATCAGCTTCTTCCCACTGTTCTTGTCTCACAGACGTCATCGCATGTTCCATCCTGATCGATAGCGTATCGGGATGCTCCTCTCCCAGGGTTTCTCGCATTGCTTCGACGACACCCAGACTTATTTTTTGGGCTTTCCACCATTTGCGGTACCTCAAAAATGTGCTGACAAGGGCTGCTCTGCACGTGACGGTCAAAGAATCAGTGGCCCCAAGAGTGTTTTCGGAAAGGCTAATGGCCCGTACAAGCAATCTCTCGACTTGCGGGAGCCCTTTCATATGTCGACAAAAGCATTGCAAGTCGGTATAGTTTCTGTGCCGTTTCTGAGCCCAGCTCAATGTAAGTTCTGTACTGCAGCTCGATCAGTTCCTCGACCAGACACGCCGCATCGGACATGCTCGAGCTGAGAATTCTGCTGTTGCCCGTAGCAAGTGGTGACGTTGCTAGTCCGTCGAGCAGTCTCTCAAATTGTTCAAAAACGTTTTCCAAGATCCATTTCTCATCAGCTGACTGTTTTTATCGGATGATGTCTCCTTCTGTGAGGGGCTGTGGCCAGGGTTGCGTTCCTTCGCGAGCACAATCTGCTCCGAAACCTTCGATTGCCATTGGTTCTTGCCGTTTTCGCGAAGGAGGCGTGCCAGTACCTTTAAGGTAGAAAGAGTTTTATCGTGGGCCAGTTCGAGAGGTAACTCCGGGTCCCATACGAGAGACGAGTTACGAATATAAGCCACCTCCTCCATCATTGGAAACATGTTGCCCACCGGCAACCGGTTTTCTTGGATACAACGACCAGTGTTGTAGATGATGGATTCCCAGTCATCCCGAGCATCCACCCCTTCAGGGAAAAGACTAAACGCATTTTGCCCATGCGGAACGAGTCTCAGATGACGGAAGCCAGGGGTCACAGCGTCAAGGTCCTTTGAATGCGAATCAAAGGCTTTGGCGAGCCGCGCAAGAAATAAATCTCGGTGTCTCCCCAGTCTCCCTGATGCTTCCAGATAGCGAAGCACGAAGGCTTTTATGCCGGGGAGAATCTCGAGGCCGCGCTGAAAGACCTCGCAACCGAGCTCAACATCGCAGTACGTGTAACTTGTCGTGATCAGATGTAGGTTTCTCAGGATAATCAGTTCTTTATCCTTGTCTGTCTCCAATGTCGAAGGAGACGCACCGAACCGCGCCGCAACTAAGCAGAGAGGTATATCTTTGTGGTGCGAAAAAAACATAATGAGGCGAGGAGATCCAGAGCCGAAGCTCCAGTTGCCTCGAGTACTTGAAGCACGGCAGCCAGGTCTGGGTCCGCGACCGTTTGCCGTATCCTTCTCCTGGGTAGAGAGTCCATGGGCGTATCTGACACCTCCCAAAGCATGCGTCTCCGGCTATCAACGATCTCTCGTATAGCGAGAGGGTTAAAGTTCAGCGCGGAGAAGAGCGATTGCGATAAGTTCGCGCCGTAGTTAATACGTCTATGGTCTTGCCAGAGGGTGATGGCGTCTATCATGGTTGACGATTCTAGGCGCACATGATGAAGTCTCGTGAAGAAATGGCGTAAGGGTTCAAAACTTCTTGTTGTCCATATTGTCCTTATGGTGAAGACACGGAAAACGTTTTTGGCTTGAGGGAGGTAATCCGCGATCCCCCGCTCATCCATGGCGGCATTCCTTTTACTTCCAAACAGCACTTCTTCGTTGTCCGCTCGGTCCACGATAACACACCACATCTGACTTTCGTCTTCGAACCACTTTTCAAACTGCTCCAAGTTCTCTCTTCTTGTCGCAAGACGCATACGGCGTCCCGATTCCTGGTATGGATCATGTCGGAGGAAGGGCGGCGCACTGCCAAAACTCGCCTTAGCCTTTCTAGCGAGTGCTTGAAACCCTCCCTCAAAGTTCGTCCAGGCATCTGCGTGTATCTCGAGAGTCTTGAGTCCTGGATGGACGGTCTGCAGCCATTTTGCCGCTTCCCTGGCAACAAGGGTTTTGCTACACGCTCATCAGTTTGGTTCCTAGATAAGGAGCGACAAGGCGCGTATACCCGACCCCTATTCCGCCCTCGATCACGACACTGTGGTCGTGTGTAAAACGTTCCTGAATTTCTTTGAAGGCTCGTATCTGGCTGCGTGAGAGCCGACGGTGCGGTGGCGCCTTGTCCGGGGGGGCAGGCTGTGTGGCCTGTTCGCTTGAAGCACCTGGAGCTTGTTCTGGGGAGGAATCGTCCTTTGCCATTGTTTTTTGATTTCTTGTTGTACGTAGCGTTTTTGACTGACACGAAGATGAAAGCTGGAGAGAGGCCGAGAAGATGAGGGGTTGTCGATACGGCGGTCAGCATCCAGCCTCGTTCAAGAAGACGACATGTTGTCATGTGACTGCTACGTAAGTGAACAAGCAATTACACCCTGTGTTTGATGCACAGATTTCATCAGTGTGTTGTACAGCCGCCAGAGGCTTTGATTGGGTAAGTGTGTGAACACAACGGCAAATTGCCCTACACGGCACCTCTGGCCTTATGAGTTGTCGGTCCAGCTTTCTCACCGGGGGCGTCACCGATAAGGCAGCACGACCTGGATCCAATCTCACGCTTGAGTTTTCTGGCAATTCTTGGATACAGATAATTTGAGGCCGCGGACGTGACTCGTTCACTGGGTTGAGCGGCACATCATTTTGAAGAACTCCATGTTCCCAGTTGTGGACGTTAGCACTATTTCTCCTGCAATGCGTGACCAACCTTCCCCGTACATCCTGCGCTTTCGGAAATTGTGCAATGTTAAGTCCGGCGAGCCGTCGTATTCCGAATGCGTGACCTTCAGGTAAAGGGTAACAGTTAGCCTTCGGCTCAGGGTCAGCATATAAGTGATCCCGCCAAGACATTGCACGACCCAACAGCACAGGGCTGAGTTTGGTAGTGCTCGATTATTCTGGCTAGCTTCGAAGAGTATCAGACAAATGGCGCGGCCTGAGCCATCATTCTGTTACACAAAGAGTAGAATAGCGAAATTTATATTTGAGACTTGCCAGTCTGAGCTCAAATGCGGCTTCGACGTACTGCTTACGCTTATCGATACATCAGTGCGATGCGGGGCGCACTGAGCGTGATGCTGGGGCACTTCATCTCGACGAGTCTGGATTGGGAAGTCTACGTCAATTAAATAAGCGAGAGTCAAAGGCTGAACTCGGAATGTTAGGCTATCGTACTGGTCAGAGCCCTTGGACACCGGCAGCAGACCGGCACGGCCGGGCGCACTATCTTCCTGCTGTCGCTGTGTTCTGGGTTATCATGCTAGACGCGGCGGTGCCGGAGCTTGAGGTGCTGTGGGCGTCTACGCTCGCTTTAACGGCCTCGGTCTAGGTGGACGGTCGGTGAAATTTCATGATTGTTGGTTCGATGCCGGCGAGCTGCATCGAGTTCGTACCAAAGTTCACCGTTGTTCATCAAATTGGATGACCTGGGGTATTGCCAGGTGGTCCTACGGAGCAATTCATCAGCGGGGTGGATTAGGGGCTGAAGGCTATGAAGATGTATACAGAAGGACTACGGAGGGCCCTCTAAGCTGCGGAGGGCTACAATTCAGATGTATTCCAAGCCCCTACCTATTGTCTATTGCCTGCGGAACACGTATAGAAAACCTTTTCTCTCTACTTTACCTAAAGCACTGACAGGTACGGTGTTTGTGGAGTAATTGGTGTTTGCTTTCCTAGGAAGGCTGATGCGTTGTCGGTGGTGCCCCTATCTAGCCGTACTCTGGCGAAGAAGAAGAAGAGTAGATGTTAGATCGACAAAATCTCAGGTTTGTCCAAGTGTCTGCCAAAAAGTGAATGGACAGAGGACAAGCACTGGAGAGGCTTGCTTATGTCTTTTGACAAAATCGTTCTTCCCGCCTCCTAGGTGGATGCTCCTTCGAGTTGCTGCTTGTCTTCTGTGCCTCTGACCTTCACGGTAGTTCAGCAAAAGTGCCAACATTCTCTGCTATACCCTTACGAGCTTCATCCTGTCACCTTTCAAGCAGTTCCTTAAATTGGCAGTGCAATCGTCGCCATATGTTCCTGAAGGCCGTGACATTTGACCATCTTCGTATTGACTACAGGATTCAACCACAAATCTAACCCCAAACGCCATCCATGCCAACAAGCATGCAGACTGAACACCTCGAAATGTCAGCTGCAATCCAAAACATGCCCGTCACCCATTTGTCTACCGTAATGCACCGATTGTGCAGTCAAAAAAATTGAAGGTCAGGCCCCCGAGGACCGACTCGATTCCCAACGCCGTCTAATCGATCCATGTCGATGATTCATTTGTTTTGTCGGACTTCGTTCACAGGCACCTCAGGCAAGTCCGGGCGGGGTTAAGGCCCGGTCGCCAGAAATCCCCGAACCCCGACAAAGTCAGTAATTGTGCGGCGCAGCACCCGTAAGCACTTGCTGCCCTCGTCCTATATACTCCGATGCAACCGCTGCTTTCACGTCTCACCAAGTCTCGGCGATGTACTGCCCGGCCTCCCTCTTGAGGTCCCAGTACTTCCTGGCCTCCTCGCGCTCGAGGTTGCCCTTGGACATGGCAACGTCGACGAGGGCATCCTCGACGCCCTCACCCATGCCCTTGCTGCTACCGCAGACAAAGACGCGACCGTCGACGGTATTGGCAATGTACCAGACGAGATCGGCCTGGTTACGCACCTCCCTCCTGCACATAGCGCCCTCGCCGGTGCGACTCTGGATGACGCGCTTCACCTCGTCTTCG